CGTCGGCAGGGAACGGCGCTTCTCTCGCTCTCCTCCCTGTCTCTCCAACTGGACCCCGGGGCTGCCTTGAATATTGTGGCGTGGAAGCAGATTTTTTTGGGGGGAGAGAAAAGGACTGTTGGATGCTGGAGGGGTGGGGTGGGGGTGTGAGGTAGGGTTGGTACGATGCCAACTCACCTTTCGTGTTTCCCCGACCCCCCTGACCCTCCAGGGATGGGGAGAAAGGGGGTGCGGTTGCCGTGAGCCACAGGTGTGCTGTGAGTTTTGCAGTGCAAGGGACCCTTAGATGGGGGGGGGCCTGGGGGGGGGGGGGGGGGGGGGGGGGGGCAGCCAGACCCTGCTGGCAGGGGGATGGTTTTACCAGAGGGGTGTGTGTGTGTTTGTGTGTTTGTGTTTGTGTGTGTGCCAGCCAAGAGGATTCTCCAGCCCCTGCTGGGAGAGGAGGGGGCTCTGCAGCCTCTGCTCCGAGGGGTGGCACCTCCGTGATAAACTGAGGTGGTATTTTGGGTAGGGTGGTGGTGTTGCCTGCAGCCTTGTGGACGAAGAGGGAGAGCGGCGGCGTTTCCCATCTCAATCGCTGAATGTTGTACAGAGGTTTGCACAACTGGGCCAGGCCCAAATTGTGCAGCCTGGGGGCGGGGGGGCCGAGGGGGGGACGACAGGTGTGGTCTGGTGGGGGATGCTGGGTTACAGCAATGCCTCCCCTTCCCCACACCTGCTTGTAATGCAAAGGCCCCCCTCCGTTGGGGAGGGGGAGAGAGCAATTAAGGCCAATGCTCATTTGCATATGCTGATAAATATATAGATCTATATATATACATATATATATATATAATGTGGCTCATTTTCAGTGGCTGATCAGACTTCTTGGCTCTGTGTTATTTTCGTCAGGTGGGAGGGAAAGGGAAACGGGCAAGCCTGGGGCCCGGCTGGATGCCCTTGAGGGAGCCCACGAGCAACCTCAGCCGCATTCTCTCTCCACGCACAGCCCGGCAAGCTGGGGGATTCTGGGAGTTGAAGTCCCCTCCTCTGTCTTAAAATGGCCGAAGTTGAAAAGACCCCGAACTATGTAAATACAGGCAGTCCTCGTCTTACGAACGACCGATGAGCCCCAATTTTCTGTGGCTAAGCGAGACGGCCATGAAGTGAGCTTTTGCCCAGTTTTACCCCCTTTCTTGTCCGTGAAGTCGGTCAAACGGTTGTTAAGTGAATCCGGCTTCCCCCATAGCACTCTTACTTGTCCTAAGGCCGCCAAAGGGGATCACATGACCCTCCCAGCCGTCATAAACATGAGTCTGTTGCCCAAGAGTCTGAATTTTGATCACGTGACCCCTGGGGAATGCTGTAATGGTCGTTAAGCGTGGAAAAAAAAACGGTCCTAAGTTGCTTTATTCGTTGCCATTGGAACTTTGAATGGTCACTAAATGAACCGCTATAAGCCGAGGACATCCTGTACAGTCCTTTGTAATTAGGGTGACAAAATCAAGAACTGCAGAATCCCCGTCGAGCTCCAGGAGGCAGCCCTGAGCAGAGATTTCCCCCAAACCTAACTCTGTCCTGCCACCTGGGGGCCGTTGCAATCTTTGCAACCCAGATTTCATTGCTTTTGTTAAGTCCTCGAGGTACAACCGTTCAGCAGGTTTCCAAGGGGTTACCACACTGGGAGGAAAAAAAAGGGGTTTATAACTGGACCTCGATCGATTTTTGAGCCATTGTAACTTTGAACGGTCGCTAAACGAGGTCGTAACGTCAAGAACAACCTGGGCCAGAACACTGCTGACAAATCATCATCTATCTATCTATCTATATATAAAGCGAAATTATCACTCGCG